CCTCCCCTCCCTCCCTCCCCCTCCCTCCCTCCCTCCCCTCCCCCTCTCCCTCTCTTCCTCCTCCTCCTCCTCCTCCTCCTCCCTCCTCCCCTTCCCCTCCCTCCTTCCCCCTCCCTCCCTACCCCTCTTCCCTCTCTCTGTACCTCTGTCCCCTCCCTCTCTACCCTCCCTCCTTCCTTCTCTCCACTCACTCACTAACTTGTTCATTTATTTACTTTTTCTCCCCACTCCCTCCCAAACGTACTGACATGACTTTTGTATTGCATAAACATGTGAGATATTGATTCGACACTCGAAATCACAATAAATAACCTCTGGCAATAAGGTGCACCTCTTGATACGCAACAAACACATGTGCATTTCGTTCTCTACAGTCGACAGTACAGATATTTTTAGGCGGTGTATTGTACCGCTCACATGATGTTGTATGTTTGTAGAGAGCACCAGAAGGGCAAATCAACGAGCACCAACCCCATTGCCAGCATTTTTGCGTGGACCCGTGGACTGGAGCACCGAGCCAAGCTTGACAATAACCCAGATCTTGCAAAGTAAGCTAATTTCATTGTGCACAGCAATTAAATTGCATCTTTTATAAATGGAAGAAAAATTTAATGAAATTTTACCAAGGAAGTGTTTGTTTCTGGTCTTGCATCTAATGTCATAAGCATACCCAATGCTAGCATTTTTGTCTATTGTTATTAATTGTGTATTCATTAGTTTAACTGTATAAACCGATAAGCATATTCCTTAATTTGCTGATGGGGCATACAAACAAAGTCACTACTTGCGGAGTTTAGACACTCCACTCTTCCCAGAGGAAGTAGAGTATCAGTTTTGTAGTCGGCACATTTGTAATATATACCATGTACATCTGTCGTAAACAGGTTCTGTGAAGCCCTTGAGAAGGCATGTGTAGATACTGTTAACTCTGGAAAGATGACCAAGGATCTTGCTCTCTGCATTAAGGGATCCATGGACAAGTATGATTACTGGATTATACGCATTGCATGTCTATTACACCATACCATTCTGTTTTTCATCACTGGACATATTGCAAAGGTTCTGCATAAATGGGCAGTATCTATTGTTAATTATCATTTTGAGGTGTTTTTTCAACAGAATAAACGGTGTTTTATATTATTGTTTCGTATTACCACTGGTGCATCTAAAAATCATTTATTTGTATTTTAGAGTGACAGAGAAGGATTACTTATACACCATGGATTTCTTGGATGCCATTGCTACGAACCTGGATAGCGCTCTGCCATAGATGAATGATAACATGTGTCTAGCAAGTTGATGATTCAGATCTGTGTAGAGTTAGCTCCCATCTTCCCTAAACCTAAATAGCCATTAAACATGGGCTTGTGACAAATATGGCGAACTTGTACACTTTCTGTTATTACCTCCACGAACAGTTTGTTACAAATTAATACTCTGTAAGTTTTGGAAGTGCTTTTCTCCTCCTAACCCGGTATGACATTTGGAGGGTGCATGGTGTAATACATCAACCCTCGTTTATATCATTTATTGCTATTTTAGTAATTTTCATGCTATCTGCGTATGTCTAAACACCATGCACAATAGAAAAAACGAAGGATCTGATTGTAGCTTTTAGCTATCTATATATGTCTACGAGCACATCGAAACAATGGAGTTGTTTGTAAATAATACTGCGCATAGGTAATTTGCAATGGGCTTCTAGTCCGGATTGAAATGAGGTTCGTACTGGTCATCAGAATGGAAGCCTTGTATTTCCCTTACTCTAGCCTTATGTACCCGGTGAATTAATTATTGCTTTAGTCGAAAAGTTTTTTTCCCCCAAAAGTGGTCCGGTAATCTCCGGATAATAATCAGGAGTGAATAAAAGCAAATTTGTTTTTATTCTCTTTTGTGGCAATTGTAGGAAAAGGCAGCAGACTCTAAAGAGCGAGAACGGTTTTTGTAGGTGGACTTATGCCTCGAAACTAGCGGGAGGGAAATTAACAGGAACTGTGGCCAGTCGGGAGTGAAAAGTCTATTGAACGACGGTTGCTCAAGCATGCGAGTGTGTGTGTAAAGAGGCTTTGCCTCACAGCGATCACTCACAGTGAACTGTGATACCCGTGCGATCATTACCGGTTCAGGCCCGTACGTCAGGTTGAACCACGTCAGTCGCCCACGCGTCAACCACTGCTGGGTCGAAACCAGAGTCACGCTCTTGTTTGACAGGAGTGTTGCCCCGTAGTGCTATTCGACTGTTTACATGGTGCGCAAGAGCTGCGTGTTGTACATTGGCATATTGTCACTTGGTTGCCAATTGTAAGGGTGGACTTTGTGAGGTTGGCATTGAAGAAAAATCACTGACACTAGAAAATTTGTTGTCTATCTTCTGTAAATGTTGGTCATTAGTCAAATGTGGCAATAATGATTAGGTAAAAATTAAGAACTGTCTTTCTTTGTGTTTTTTCTTGCAGTTCTTACACACGGCAATTATTTGAACCAATTAATGAAACAAAGTATAATACCTTAAGTCTGGAACAAGTCGCACCACAACATTAGACAGCAAAAATCTTTGCCATCAAAAACTGAGAGGCGCCAACAACGCTCGCCCCGTTAATCCGCGCATGCGTGTGTATGTGTGAGCAGATGCATGTATGTGTGCCTGTATGAAGGGAGGCAGGTGTGGGTGCGTGCGTGTGTGTAGCTGTGTGTGCGTGCGTGCGTGTAGCTGTGGGTGTGTGCGTGTGTGTAGCTGTGGATGCGTACGTGTGTGTAGCTGTGGGTGCGTGCGTGGCTGCGTCCGTGTGTATAGCTGTGTAGCTGTGGGTGCGTGCGTGCGTGCGTGTAGCTGTGGGTGCGTGCGTGCGTGTAGCTGTGGGTGCGTCCGTGTGTGTAGCTGTGTAGCTGTGGGTGCGTGCGTGCGTGCGTGCGTGCGTGTAGCTGTGGGTGCGTGCGTGCGTGCGTGTAGCTGTGGGCTGCGTCCGTGGCGTGTGTGTACGCTGTGGCGTGCCGTGCGTGTGTGTAGCGGTGGCGTGCGTGCGGGTGTGTAGCTGGGGTGGCGTGCTGTGCCGTGTAGCTTGTGGTGCGGGCGGTGCTGTAGCGTGGTGTGCGCTGGCATTGCTGTGCGTGCGGTGTGCTGTAGCTGTGGGTGCGTGCGTGTTGTGTAAGCTGGCTGGGTGCTGTGCGTCGTGTTTGCTAGCTGCTGCGTGCGTGCGTTTGTGTTAGCTGTAGGTGCGTGGTTGTGTAGCTGTGGTGCGTGACGTGTGTGTAGGCTGTGGGTGCGGCGTGCTGTGCTGTTCGCGTGCGTTGTAGCTGTGGGCCGGGCGTCCGTGTAGCTGTGGGATTGCGTGCGTGCGTGCGTGCGTGCGCGCGTGATCCCACCGTGGTGGATAGCTGTGCGCGTGGCGTGCGTGTGTGTAGCTGTGGCTGGTGCGTGCGTGTGATTGATAGCAAGCTGTGGTGCGTGCGTGTGTGTAAGCTGGCTGGGTCGTGCGGTGCCTGGAGGCTGGCGGGGCTGTTGCGTGTGTGTAGGCTGTTGGGCGTGGTGCGTGGATGTAGCTGATGCGTGCGTGCGTGTGTATAGCTGTGGGTGCGTGCGTGTGTGTAGCACTGTGTAGCTGTGGTGCGTGCAGTTATAATTTTTCATCAGATTTGTACCCTGCGCTTTCACTTCTCTGCATAGCACGCTATACGCCCTAACATAAAGTTACTGTTGCTGCTTAATTTTTAACTGCCACTCCAATACGCTATGCACTCAACCGACATTATCAACCATATTTTTTTTATTAGTACAAGTTATTAATTTTCTTTGTTTTTCTTTTCTGTTTATACATTTTCATTTGTACAAGAATACGTGTAAACTAAATAGTGTACTAGCCGGCGCCTAGTATGCAAGCAGTTGCGTTATTTGACACTTCTTTAAGTTCCCTTATCCGAGGGAGCATACATGCCACCCCCGCAAATGTCAACTCATATAGCGGACCAAAATTGGTCGTTATTCAAAAAATTTCTGAAAAACAATGGGCTAGAGGCTACGAGTGTGCCCTCCAACATTCTATTCAGTTTGCACGTGCTATACATACACACACACGAACGAGCGCACACGCACACGCACACGCACACGCCCACGCCCACGCACACGCACACACACACAATTACTTGATAGTATTTGTAGTAGTCTTGATAGTATTTTCCTTGACACAATAGCGTCATATAAGAAGTTCAGTGTAACAATTCCAATATTCAATCACAGTGACATTTTATTACAAGAGAATAGCCACACACAGATTAGCCATGATGGACGTCGGGTATAGGTAACTAACTGCGTATTATACGCAGCAAACTACAGTTACAGGTAGAAACTACTTTCACTAGTAAGATCTGACATTCTTAGTAGTCGTGAAAAATAGTTGAAACATTCTGGGGGACTGTTCGAGTATGTAATGTAATAATAGCTTACCAATGAAATTTAACGAAAACTAAACAATGAACACTAGAGAGCACAACAGATATTCAATGCAGTTTTTCTGTAATTTTGTTACGCGGCATATAAGTGTTCCCTATTAAATGCAGGCGTATTTTTATTTAGTTTAGAAATGCATGTTTAAATATTGAGAACATTGGCAAATTATTGTTCCACCTATCCATCTGACTGTTTGCATGAAATATTGAATAAAGCAATGTAGCCTCAGATTAAAAAGTTGTCCCCCGCAGCGGTCGCGCTATACTCGTGCTATTTCACTAATTAAATTTCACATGTACACATAACAAGGTCTTCAACCCACCCAATTTACACCGTTATGCAAAATTTACAATAAAAGTCACTAGACATCGCCACCTTCCTGATGGCAAAAATATACACAAAACTGCAATACTTTACAAAAGTGCACAAAATATTCACTAATTGTTAAAAATCCTCTTCAATAACATTCAACAAAGCAATAAATTCCCAAATGATGCAACAAGCTGTAAGTTGAGCTATGTAAGCAAGAGTTGATACTCTTCACAATAGGAGAATGCATGATTTATCTTCGTACAAACTGGGTCCACATCGTCTTCACACATGCCAAGCATGGCAATGACACACAACACCGTATCGTAATTATTACAGGCTTGCTTAAATATAATTACAAGAAATCACAATGAAAAAATCTACAGCATGCGGTCGTTCGTGTATCGTAATAAACAAAAACGTTTATCATACACAATAATCATAATTCGCAAATAAGTTGATCGTGCAGTGAACCGGAAACCAGACAGGAAGTGATACTGACCCACAAACATTGTAATTGCATTATTACATGATACACAGACACCAACACATTAAATTTAATTACACATAAAAACAAAGTGTAAAAACTCCAATGTTAGAAAAGATACTCTTTGATAACCATGCCAGTCTAATCACTGATAGATTCCTTTATATTCACCTACTATATATAACCTACAGTGGATTTACCACACGCGCGTACACATGCACGTATCCGCACGCACGCACGCACGCACGCACGCACGCGCACGCGCACACGCACACGCACACACACACACACACACTCGTGCGCACACGTGTATATGTACAGAACGAGAGGCAGAGACGGAAGGCTAAAGAAAGAGACGGTCTGTATTCAACGTAAATGTAGTACAATGATAGGAAATTCGTGAAGTTGACTAAATGTGAATTGTGGTCAGAAGAATCCTTACTATGACTAGCTGGGGACGCAAGACTGCACGTCCTCGTTTACACTTCTAGTGTACGCGCACATTCACACTCATTTTCCTAATAACCTTACTATTCTTCCCCCTCTCGCTCTCTCGCGTGCGCAACTTCTAAGACCCTCTCGTTTCCTCAACGACTGTAAGACAAGGTTAAATGTGTAAGAGAAGAAAGAAGATACACGGAGTTTCACAGACTCTCTGCATATATGTAAAGAGAAACTGGTAAGAATTGATGCTGCCCTTTCATTATTCTGGACAATTCTAAGCATTTCAACCTCTTCGTTTCCCCATTTTTCTGTCCGATTAAATGCTTAAAATACAAAGACAAGATTTCATAAACTGTGATGATTTCGCAGCACCACATACAGCCACCAAAAGCCAAAAGGTCACAGGCACTAACTACTACATCTATAATTTGTACATAAAGAGAAAACCTCTGGCATACACAAAGGTTACGAGGAAAACGACAATGCACCACTTCGTTGGCAGCCATGGCTCAGACCACATGTCACAACAATGTCTGGTCGTCCTTAATTCAACCATCTCCATTTAGGCAAGACATTTTTACATCACTGTGTACACACCACCATGCACCTGGGCAAAAACGAACCATCAACTGCCGAGCTGTATGCACGCTACATTGTTCTTGCTTCTACATGATTATGTGCATGGCAGCCCGCTGCACCCTACAGCATCCACCCTACGAGTCCCATATTTACAGCTCAGCAAAGGCCCTGCACTGCTATATACACCGCAACAGAGTTACCAGCAGTTCTGCCTGCAAGGCTAATGTCCCTGCTGCTGCGACTATCACTGCTTCCACATAAACAGCACCAAGTTTTGACGCCATTGACGCGATGGCAGAGCGGCACCCTCTACCGCACTATTATGATCATACGGTTGTCACCTCTTCATTTGCGAAAAATATAAATTCGTAATGCTCTATCATTAGCCACACAGCCTCTTCCAAGATCTTGGAAGCTTGCGCCATCGTTTCAAAGGTTGTGAAGTCTGGTCGCAGGATGGTGGGCCAGAAGCACTTGGCGAGATTGTTGCTATCCATACTCGTTTCACGAGAATGCTGCGACACCCTAAAAGAGAAACAGAGACGAGTTAGCACACAAACACACCTAATAGTAAGGCAACCGTCACTTAGGAAAAAAGACTAAAAGCACATACCTACCACCTACCTTACATAATTCAAATAAATTCATATTCAAACATTCATCTAATCCAATCCGGTGAACGGTTTCGAAATCATACTCTAGAATCCAAAGATGGATCAAAAACAGTATTGGCGGAGGTTTACAAAATTGCAGGCTATGTTACTTACTTGTGTAAGTGCACAAAGAAAAACTTGAGCACTTCTTGGTTAACCAACGGAAGCCTGTCGATCACGTCACGTATGGCGACCAGCCGGGCAGACTGCTCTCCTAGACCTGAACAGAAAAGTTATGTTAAATAATCTGTATAGATATAAAAAAAATAGCATATGAGAAACAGCAATTATAAAATCATAAAGTCATGCAAACTTCATGGTCAAACAGGAGACGCCAGAAGACAAATGAATAAACATTGACTAGCTGTATTTAATTAAATCTCCGGGTAATATGGATGTTAGGGCGAATCGAAATTGTGGTCGACTGATGGGCAATAGCAGCAGGAGACCGATATATAAAAGTGCAATATATATAAGATATTATATATATTATATTAGATATTATATATATATTATATATATAGATATATATAAGATTGGCATATAAAAGTGCGTACTTGCAGCCTCTAAGAGGTCTTCGTAGTCAGAGCTGGGCACAAGGGGCGTAGGAAGCTCCTGAAAAAACGTCTTCAACGCAGTCGCGACCGCGTTTACAGGAATCTCAAGATCATTTGGGTTCACCGACGGATCCTCCTCGAATTTTTGCATGAGTAGATCAACATGTGCCTTGTTACCGGGAACTCGGTATAGGCCCTCAGAAGTTAGACCTAAAAACATGACAATATAAATATTGGTTCAACACATTTATCCAGCAAGATTGAATCATCATTTATACAGAGCACTACGTAATGTTATCTGAGAAGTATTTGAATGTAATTTACTTTGCTGGCTGATTAAATAAGTCTACTTTGTTATAAAAATGTATTTTCCTGCAAACAATTCACAATTGTTAAATAATATTCAATTTTGTCTTTCATGGGATGATTTTAACATTTTTTATTTCTTACGCAAACTGGATAAAAACAAGCAATGGTGTACCTTCTTCTTCTATGAAGGTGATACACATTTCAAGGAACGATGGAACCAGACGATCTTCAGTCTGTACATATTCATCTAGCTCTCTCCCAACCAAGCCCTGTGATGTGCTACCACAACTCTTAGTGGAATTTGTCTTCTTACGTTGCCTCTTATCCTGCTTCTCCTGCCTCAACTTTGCCTTTTCCTGCAACATTATTAGGGTAAATTTATCTGTTCTATGCAATCGTCAACGGAAGTAGACGGTGGCAGTTATATTACTATACACTTCTTTACAGCAAAGCTCACAAAATACATAGAGCCAGGCTGTAGTTACACAATCATAAATTTAGTAACATTTGCTGATATACTCAGCACACTACTGCAGTTAAAGAACTAAAGATACGTAGCAGTAAATATTAAATAGGTTCTAGAACAAATGACCCTAGAATAATTAACCCTAAAACAATCGCCCAGCAGGCAATTACCACCCCACCCCTTTCAGACAATCATGCCTTGCACAAACACCTCCATGTCATTCACTTCCTTGACAACTACCCCACCCACATGATTTTAGATTTTAGATAATTGTGTAAAATATAAATTCTTAAAAAATACACTTTAAAAGGAATATTATTTTCTTATATTTATTCGTGATCACTTCAAGTCTGTGTAGTGTAGCATGTTTTATTGTCCAGGGGGTGGGGTGTAATTATTTGGGCAGTGTCTAGGGGTAAAAATCCAGGGGCTGGATATCACAGGGATAATTATTCCGGAAGGGGGGGGAATATTTCTCCTGATACCAGTAAATAGGAGGTGCCGACTTAATATACTAATAATATATGTACCTATTCTATCTGCTGCACGAGTTTGCAATGAAAGGGCAATCAATATACTCTTACTAGGTGTTACCACAGACTAATTAACCACAGATTATTGACTAGCAAGTACCTCCTCTTTCATTCTTCTTTTCTCATCATCCTTTGCTTTCTTTTCCTCCTTCTTGCGCTGCTTGTCCTCCATCGTGATTGCAGCCTTCTCTGTGCCGCTGAATGACTTGATCTTCTTCTTCACACCTGGCCAGCCACCAACTTCGGTCGGCTCTCCCACCTCCCCTGTATCATCTGGAGTCAGAAGTTGACCAGGAGCCTGTTGAAAATATGACAAACATTTATGTATTTACAGATATATGTAGTTAGTTCGAAAAATAACTATGCAATAGCAATAGTCACGTGGTATGCAACTATCAATATATGCTAACTCGGAAAACAATTTGCGACATGCTCAGATATATATTAAATTTATAAAAAAGAGTGGTGACGGGATCTTAAGAATCAAAGGTCATGGTTATTTGTAATGAAGTAGCATCACAACGCACAGAAGGGTCTTGGCTGATTGTGACAATGTGGACATGCTCATTTTTTTAATTATGGAAACATTGAACTCTCATTATTACCCTGATCAATGGATCTTTAGGTGACACAATTTCATAGAGACCTTCCTCCTCCATCGACGATCCCATATGCTCTGGTCGAACCATCAAACCTGAAACAACGATGGCAGTTTACTACAAATGTTAAAACAAGTTCAGTAAACACCTGCAGTTTAATTCCCTACAAAGCAATACAGTAAAATATATAAATTCTAATCATGCGACTTCCAACATTTATTTTGCGTATATATTAAATTTCCATGCTTTGTTTGTTTGTTACGTAATCTTATTGTAGTGCCATCGACTGCTAACTACAGTAAAATGACCACATTAAAAATATGATTGGGCAGCCATGTATCTTGCACACAAAAGTTTAATGAATAAACATATACACACAAAAGTGAACATGTAAACAAACACAACTACTATAAAAAATTATGTTCCAACGTTTACATTTGTATTCTACATAATTCTTAGATACCAAGAAGACATTAAATTTCATTGTTATTCATCAGCACTGTACATACAATTATAAGATGATCGGGTTTGGATAGAGGTGGTTAAAACTGAGGAGACATGACTGGTCATTCTGTATTTAAATTTCATTCATTAAAATATAACGTCTTCTGACCGAAAGTCATAGAGTCTTCAAAGACTAAGCATTCTATATCTAAAGTCAAACAAATTGTGCATGTCTCACAACGTACTTCACTTAACTAATATAATCTGCAAACACCAGGCATGCCATATATATTTACACAACTTGCAGCCGTTTGACTATGTACATAACCGAACACGAAACGGCAAAAAAGAATGTGAGGGACAACTAAATATAACTCCATTTCAACCTCATAAACTATCATTAATTAAGTGTCACCACTAAAATAATAATACAGTAAGTCTGATGCATGACTAGTAAAACACTTGGCACGGCACACAAAACTCAAACACTATTACGTGACAACTGTGTAAAAATGCATAACAAAATGTATAAATAATAATAAAGTAGCAAACATACAGGTCACCACGATGCAACCACACCATGCAGACGTCCGCGATGCTGCTCCTCGATGGCATGCTTTCTCAGCATGAAATGCATCGTTCGCTTACACACGTCAACAACAGATCCTGCTCTATGTATGATATCCAAACTACACAGAATAGTAATTTCGATTCATGTGTGAAAAAATTCCATTGTACTTCAATCGCAATTATATAGCAATTCAAATACCATTTTTTTGCCGTAACTTTTCATCGAGTTCAATTAATTTTTCGCAGCAGGGACAACCTACGACCAACCGCTAAATCGTTTGGCTTAACGATTAGACCTGTTGACAAACGCCGATAAAGTAACGATGCATTCACACATCCGCGATGTTCACACACACACACGCACGGGGGGGGGGGGGTAACAGGCATGAACCTTTGCCAACGTCGGACACGCTGTGGTGTCGGAAGTCGACGGGCGCCGAGATGAGAAGCTGCTTGTCCTGGGAGCGCAGCGGCTTGCGGCGCGTCTTCTTGTGCGGCGTCGGCTTGCGATGCACCTTCGCGTAGATGTTCTTCGGCTGCTCGGCAGCGCCGCTCTCGCTGTCGCTAGAGTCATCTACTGCGACACACACGTGCGTCACACTCCGCCTTAAGGGGGGCTTATGTCGGGCTTGCGAGCCGACTCGACTGGAAGCAACTGGCTGCAATTCACTGCGACTGCAGTGCTTAGGTCGGTCGACTGCGACGCGACTGCCTGCGACTGGCCGCCACTAGTTGCTCGGAATAGAACAGTGGGCAACTGGACGCAACTAGTTGCTGCCGATCGCTGCCAGTTGCTCGAAATCCAGTTGCTTCCAGTCGAGTCGGCTCGCAAGCCCGACATAAGCCCCCCTTTACGTTGTGTAACGCGAGCGACGCTAAAGCTTGGGTGCTGACGTCGCTGCCAAACAAGCCACCTAGCGTGATACACGCGTGACACAGATTTATGTCGCCAACGCGAGCGACGCTAAAGCTCGGGCGATCCCGTCGCGCTGATGTCGTGGTCAAACACATCACCTACCGTGACACGCGGGTGACATTCAGTTCTACATTGTCAACACGTGTGGCGTCAACCACAACGTAGAGCAGCACTATACACCGTGGCTCCTGGCATATATGTATATATGAGTAGGGCGATACAGCCTGAACTGTCTTGAAATTCAACACATGGCATTCTAATCACCCTGGCTACGGGAACCTACCAATACCTGTCACTCTAATGCCGCTAATGGAGCTCGTTTTCTATCACACAAGCAGAGGATCTATACAGCTAAAGAGCATCTTGTTTCATAATGTGGTGATGAATACCACAGATGTGCAATCTAGTATTGTCCAGATTTTGTAAACTTTTAATGATTATTTTAAGGCTGTTGTTTGCTGTCTGAAGCTCCTATGGTCCAAAAGGGTTGGTTTGAAAGTCATTATACCAGCCAGATTAAAGAGCAAAAACCCTTCTCACCACCAAACAAAAATAGATGGTGACCCAAGTAAGGGCCTGCACGAGGTCTCGTCTTCCTTACTATTCATGACATTAAATAAAACTCACACCAAATTATAAATTTCGAAAAACAAAAAAATTCCACGCATTAGTTAGTCTATAATACAAATGTCCAATGTCATAATGCAGTTAGACTACATAATTCAAATATCACAGTCCTTGATAAAACCGGATTTTCAACCGCAACACATGTTCATGTTTTAGCCTGCAACGTAATAAATACTAAACAGCTATTGCCATGCTCATAATAACCATTTCTAGGTAATGATAGATGTAAGGACGTAGTAGAAAAAGCATAGACCCTGCACCTTGAACATTGCGCAGCTCCTGCACCTTCATCATCACGCATCTCACTGCCGTGATGAAAATGTAAAAAGCATAAAAAACCACATTGATGGTGCATTTGTACGCCATCAGTTCATTACTGGTTTCATCGCAAAATAGTGAGCATTATACATCATACACAACAGCATGTATGCGCAGAAGCCGCTCAACAACACAAACCTTTGCTGGTAGCTTGCCAGGATGCGTTCTTGCGTACGGAGGACTTCATTCTGCGCATGTGACCAGGAGGTAGAGCATCCTGGACGAGCGCGTAGTCACCCGCACTTACATACAGTGGCAGGGTCTGGCTCGGAATCGCATCCTACGTACATTCGCAAACAACATTCATGTCATGTAGTTCAACACGCTGTTGTCATCGAGAGAAAATTTTCCTTTAATACCAATCTATTATACTCTAGTCTTACCGACTAATATAATAAGACCAGAAGTAGATTCAGAGTAACACCAGCGGTCGATTCAGAGTAACACCAGCGGTCGATTCAGAGTAACACCAGCGGTCGATTCAGAGTAACACCAGCGGTCGATTCAGAGTAACACCAGCGGTCGATTCAGATGAATTCAGTCTTTGACATGCTAAGCTTTGTGCCAAATGACCTTCGCATTTAGACTTGCACGTTCTATATACCTGTGCTGGGCGCATACACTATGACACGTTACCTTCACTTGAGCATAATCAGAGCCGATCTCGATGCTCTCCGGTGTTGCGAGTGGTGCCGCTTTCATCCTGCTGTACTGTACTGTAGAGTGCGTGCCTGGCTTTGTGTCGCGCACTGTCCACTTCTGAATGGCGTCTGTCACCTGACCGAAGTTCCGCAAGTCCAACTTCCCAGGCTGCATCAAGAAAATGTATAAAACGAAGTTCAACTATGCTGGACATTCTCACTGCAAACCTGTTCACCAAACTTCACCAATGTATAAAATACGTCCAATATAACCGACGTGTTACCCTAATATAACCAATACAAAAGTGTTGCAGTACACAGGATTGAATATCGAGTGGTAGATATGGTACCCCTAGACATATATTGCAGGCGTCCTATATTACCTTGGGTTTTAATGGTGGCTTTACTGGCTTGCCTGGTTGGGGCTGATCCTTACGTCCATACGTTTCATAGATGACACTGTCTGCCCAGCCCTCTTTGTCATTTTCATTCAAGTTGTTGTCTACCCATCCTTCTATGTACACACATAGATGAAATAATATTATATTAGATCACTCTGTATTTACTAACATACTTTTACTAACATTTTCCTAAAAACAAGTTAATGCACAGTCCGAATTCATGATTTTTTTAAAGTCATATGAAATAAAGTTGTACGAAAATTTAAGGCACATGCACCTCCCTATTGTAATTATAATAATAATTACAGCGGTACATGTAATTAGAAAATTTCTTCTTCTCAAAGGCAACTGAAAAACATCACACACAACATTCAACTATAGTTCTTCTCAATTTCCTTTGAATGATCACACATGTAATATACATAGGAGAAAATATGCTTTCACAGAACGTAATGCTATTGTGAAATCAGGTCAGCATAAAACAAAACAAAATCCATAACAATAAAATTATAAATCACACTAGAATCATCCGAATCAAATACCAAGCATCAATCTGTGCTGAAAGACACACCTAGAAAACAAACTGAACATAGGTGAGAATATTGTCGCCGACAAAAGAAAACAAAGCAACGGCTGAAAAACTCCAAAATCGAACACGTCAAATAACCCGTGTGAATATTCGTGCACAACTTAGAGAGATCAGGAATGAAACCACAGGAAAATTGAGTGTGTACCCTCTTCCCTGACAGGGGCCTGCTGTTCAGGCATCTGCTTTGCCGGTGACGTGGGGCTTGTGCTGGCGCTGGGCATGGTTGAAGCTTTCTGCAGCTTTCTGCCTGCTGCTGGCCCAGTGTTGCTCAGCTGTGGCAGGGTGGCTGGGAAACCAATACACAGCCTTGCTCATTAAGAAGGCCTCAGCTAGTCAACTACCACTAAAACACACCAGCGTGCACATACATACAAACATAATAGGTTGCTATTCACTGACAGAAGCCACCATTGCCAGCATGAAGCAACAAGTCAAGTAATCACCTATGTTGATGCAACTCCTCATAACTAAGGCCTATAAAAGATTAGGCTGCAGTAACATACTTTGAACAACAAATCTGCGTATTTACCCCTGATATCTCACATACGCACTCATTCATGCACTTCTGCCGCACGTGCATCGTTTAACCCGAGGGCTATTTAACTGTTCTTTAGCTTGCTAACAACCCGCGAGACAAGCCGCACTTACGGTAACATCCCAGTTGGCCTACACCCATTTCGCCTACTCCCATTTCGTCTCCTCTCAGAATCGGCAATATTCCCATTTCGTACTGTATTTTCTATCTTTGTCAAGTTATGTTCTCATTATTTATACCTATGTTTTTCATCTGGTTCCTGTAGTCTATGTATGCCAATCAAAACCATGTTTTATTATTTATAAATGATTATTTAGTGAACAAACCGATCGTAGACGAAATGGGAATGGGGTAGATTTTGAGCGTAGACGAATTGGGAGTAGGCAAAATGGGTGTAGGCCAACTGGGAATTTTGCTGTAGGCAAAATGGGAATTTTGCCATAGGCGAAATGAGAGTAGGCCAACCGGGAATAAACCGTACTTACAGCTGCACCAACACACTCACATGCGACTGGCAAACGACTGGAAGCACTACGCAAAGTTGACCGAGAACTGCCATTAACTAGTCCGAGCACACACCGCTAAAGACATTTGTGACCCGCTCCAGCAAAACCAGGATTAAGTAGGAAATTCAATTACCTTTACCTTAAGTAGGAGATAATTTAATTACCTTTAAAATGATATATAATATTTGGCTATATCTAAAGAATTGACCGATCTACAGCAATTTGAAGATCGGAAACCGACTTATTCCGGAATATGCAGCTTTTGAGATAAAGCGTTCCGGGTAAGGGGCCCAGTCGGGGATGAGCGGTCAGGGGCCCTTGAAATTTTTTTTTTTTCTTAATTAAAAATGACCAAAATAATCTAGAGATATATCCGGATTAAATATGCACTTAGGAACTTATTTTTGTAAAGATCTCATTTTTGTCCAGGTAGGCCATTTTCAGCATTGACATGTGTGTGTGCTCATTACTCAAAACAATGACTTGCGACTTAGTCCGTATTATGCTGGAGCGGGTCACATTTGACGAATGTGACATTTATTATGCATTATTGCCTATCTGTGAAGCAACTCGGTAGGTCGTACAGCAAAATCCCGACTATCCGGCACTCTATGCAACGGCACCAAAAGAAGAGCATTAGCCAGTGCAATGAAAACCAAGGGTGTTCCAACCAATTTTAGAATAAGGCTTTACAATAAACGAAGTACATGTAATTAAATAATACACAATGTAAAATGTTATGTAAATTGTGCATGCATGCGTGCGTGCCTGCGTGTGTGCGTGTTCTGTAACAGATTATAGCTCTATTTGCTCTTGTAATTGCAATCTCTGCAAAAGGTGGCAAGTTTCCTATTATTAAAAATAATTCCGCTGTATCAAATTACTTTTATTTTTATATATATAAAATATTCAACCTATAACGCACCCCAGTTTATTAGGGTGCCGGATAATCGAGTTTACTAAACAAAGAATTATAATCAAATTGGGTAAAATCAACAGGTACGACCATAAAAACCATAAAAACAGCAGCTACTAAGAAAAAAAGTATTCCAGCCTCAGTGAAATGTGTCTGTACGAATTGATACTCGTGACTCAAATAAATGGCACCCACAAGTTTCATTAATTAACAAGCGACTCAAGGCATTCGAGCGAAAAACCTGCCACTCATATAAGGTACTGCCTCAGCAGCATACAAGCCCCAAAGCTGAAGATTACAAGGCCATTATTGGATCTAGAGTTAGTTATGAGGCCATGCACATAAACTTCATCGCAACCAATCCTGACACGTTTTCATGCATGTTGCATATATAACCTATTTGCATGTTGCATCGAATCGGATACATGCCATGTATGCCAATATTCGCCTACTTTACACAGCAGTAAGTGTAACAACTTCATTCATCGCATCATAGGTTTCACAACTTCATTAATAATTATAAATGTTAACCTCGATCAAGAGAATTAAATATTTTTTTCTTTGTTGGCAAGCTGCACTTTCTCATGTAAGTTCATACGTCAATGGATAAATGCAGCTAAAAAATACCAATGTTCAATATGGGGAAATTATTGGGCAGTAGGCAGCAGTTTAAATTGTGGCAGCGTAGAGACTCCACATCATTAAACGCACGTACACACACATTCGCACGCACACGCACGCACGCACGCACGCACACACGCACACGTACTGACCACACACGCACGCACGCACGCACGCAAACACGCACGCACACACACATGCACCCACACTCTCTTACGTGCTCATCACGCACGCGAACATGCACATGCACGCACACACGCTCACGCTCACGCGCGAGCACATACGCATCAACGCCCACGAGACAGTAGGAGTAATTCTTACTGCACCAGTCTGCGGTTAGTACTGCAGAACAGAGACAAGATAGAAGCAGCCTCCAGAGGTTCGAACGCAAATAAAACACGAAAGAAAAGAAAAAACGTTATGCGCGTGCACCTAACTCTACGTCGTGCAAGGGAAGCATAAGATGCATGGGGCGGCATGCAAGCACATCCGACCACGTGCGCTCGTGCCAAAAACTAATAAGAGTCTGCACAATCGGGCGGTCGTTACCATCCTCATTGTCGTCTCTTCGATCGTCGCCCTCTGTCGCTAATTTCATGCTGTTAGACTTGCGGAACTGGTAGTGAGCGCGCGTGCGCGGCACCGTGCCGACGACACTGCACACCGTGCGTGGCGCACGCGTCGCCGCTAGCCCTATGAACGTTCCCCCGGTGAAGGACTGACCCATGGGGCCGCCTGCGCCGTGGCTGCCCCGCGGCGACGTGTGGAACGTGTTCTCCGTTAGGGAGGTGCTCAGGGAGGAGTCGGACTGCTCAGCTGCAGTGCTGCTACCGTGGAACCGCGATGTGTCTATGCACGGGTACGACTTCCTATACTGATCTGCACCCACACAGACAGGAGGAGAAACCAGTTAGCCGACGGTGGAGATCAAACCCCGTGGTGAAACGGCGAATGGATTCTATATACGAGCGAGTGAGACAGCAAGCAACTGGTCAAATGCGTTCACTAGAGCAAGTGGTTGTACGTTAAGTGAGCCTTTACAATGCTGTGCAAGAAATTAAAGTGATTCTGCAAGAGGTCAAAACAGCAATTTGTTATGAAATGAACAGCAACACTAAGAGTTAGTATAATAACACTACATCAATTAAAATTATGAAGTGGCTCTTGAGTTAAAAGCACACGGGTAATCAAATTTGATCATCTGCTTTGATCTACACTCATGAACATCAATGATTGCAATAGCTGAATCACAAGAGAGCATTCAAAATTCAGAAAACTTTTGGAACATGGTATCACATGAAAACGGTAATATACAACTTATAACACTGGAGGAAGATTAAACTTACGGATTAAAGAGTCCATATTTAACTCGTGTGGGCTTGACATTTTTAGGCGTATGTTTTATACGAATTTTGCTACACGTTGAGTAGTAATGTTAGGTTATATCTAGGCTGCTTTTTAAGTTATACCAAATGGAGTATTTCATGCCAGTCGTGCAATAAATGTTAGTGTTTAACGTATCAATATACATTCTGCCAACTACGTATTTCATTATTAAAATTATGAACTATTATTTTAATTATTCACTTATTATTTCATTGGTTAAAGATTAATTGCCAGGTTTTAGAACATTATCACAATCCCTTTCACGAACAACATAAAATTCCAAGTTGGGGAATTGTATTATCTTTTAACAGTACTAAGGTCAACAGACGTATTGTTCACACCCTAATTACACTTCATGCAATAATAAATAACAAATAAACAAAAAGGCACAATATAACATCACCTCTGGAATAAGTTTGCCACCACTTCCCTTTCTACATTCATTGAAGGTTTTTCTACATTTGTTTAAGCTTATGTTAGCTCTGCCCATATGCATCAACCCATTCTAAATTGTTTTCTATGTAGTGGCACAGCAAAAGCTAACTGAAGGGAGACTAAAGGTTTCCTGTGTAAAATCCGGTATAACGTTTAAATTAATTGTGTTGATATTATGACGATATCGGTAGTCCATAGTATATTCCGCTGATTTGAGCAAAAAACAACATTGCTACTAATATAATTCACAACAAACATCATCAACAACTCTGAAAAACTTATAAAAACAGTATAACTAGAATAACAAATATATAATAATCAAACGTGTAATCTGTGACGTAAACGTTGTTGCGTGCTTACCACGTAAGAAAATTGCATGCACACGGCAGACCAGTGTTAGACATGAGTAACTCAGTCATATCTCTACTACGGTCAATACTAATTTAGTCGAAATCACTCCACCTCACTCACAATGTACACCAAGCATTAATCGTTCCTCATAAATTTGATAGCCAACTTCTGCCGATACCTAACTCAATTGATCATTTAGAAATCAGCCCAGCTTCACGTGTGATGTGTAATAGTCACTGCACTATATACATCACGGCAATTTGTGGTTCTACGAATCTCTCTACTTCATTATTACCACAAGTATAATAAAGTGGGAGCTAAGCATGTAAGCAATCCGGCATACAATATTATACGTCAGGCAAGCGATTGTGTTAGAGACGTGCTCTAGCTTATAAGGCATTTACGAACATTACTATGACAGTTATGAAACAATCCTGGTCAGGTAGGGAAGGTATGCAGTGTAGTAGCCCAACTAAACATCCCTAGATGGCAGATATGCAGTAACTTTTCAAACAGGAAGAACAATGCACAATCTCACTGCAAACAAAGCAGCATTTACAAAGTTTTCGATGCAAAAACAGTGCACTGCGACAACCCACCAAACTTTTCAGCCAATGACTTCCAACTCATTTCCAGCAGTTTGGTTGGTGATAATAAAACAGGGGACCTGCTCTTAGGAAATGTGTTCACTGAGAAATCTGAAAGGCAAACCATACTAACCTAATGCTCACAGATTGCACACAGGTGTTTAAATACTGGCCTCTACGTGAGGACAGGGTGTGTAAAATCCTTTACACTAGGTCAGAAATAGATGGCAGCATTTGTACACCAAGTAACGTATTGTCAAATTAATAAACAAACAAACCGTAGATGTAAATGGTCACCTGTATAGAATATCCACCCCAATAATCGTAATCTTTAGTCGTGTAAAAAAGGTTATAGAAAAATTTGACGAGAATTAAAGTGTCAATATCTATGTGACACAGTTCAATTATGATACTTAACGTCAAACTAAAAAAAATTTGCCATTGTTCCATCTGAATAGAGCCTATCATTCCATTACTATCCATTTCACATGTTACATTTATTGGAACATCTGCGTGTCCTGAAGAGTGGAAGTACCTTAATTTCAGCCGCTTTCAAATGACCTGAAGTATTTTGACTTTCTCTCAGTGGAACTAGCCTAAGCTACCCTGAATGACTCCATTGCACACGCAACGACCTGAGATCCCTGAACATTCTACATTTTATATTCACAGACATACACACACGCGAGCGTGTGCACGGACACGCACATTTTAAAGCAATTACAATAAGCCTTTTAAATCTGTGATAACGTTACTGCTGGGCAATGAGGTATCCAGTTACTCACAGACCAGTGCCACAAATATGCAACAGAACTTGCTTCGAATTGGCAATATTAAACGAATCCCGCTATTTGTTTTTAGGGCAATGACTCCATGAGGACTGTCACAAAATTTAAATGTGTAATGTGGCGTAAAGTTATACAACACAGGTGACAAAATCAAAACACTAACCACACGGTGACCGCCACCACCACTCCCATAACGATAGAACAAAAAACTCACAATAACTAAATCCCAACCTATACAGCTCATATTTGAAATGAATCTTAGGATACGGTTTCTCCAACAGAAGCGTGCCAACGACATGAAATTTCCTCTGGCTGCACATCCCTGCAGAGTAAGCATAACCTGCAGATGCCCACCACGCACGCACGCACGCACGCACGCACGCACGCACGCACGCACGCACGCACGCACGCACGCACACACACACACACACACACACACACAGTGGTCACTCAGCCATTCATGTACATACCTGCATACATGCTCCTGCGCTGCCGGAGCTGACTGGGTCGTATCAGTTGGTCGCGGTCATTCACTGGTCTGACGTCTGTGTACAGCAGACTGTCATCGACAGAACTGTACATCTCAAGGCTCTCGCTGCCATCATACGACGGAGACGGCAACTCCGCCTCATCAGCACTGTACTGACCATCTTCATGAGGATTCAGAGCTAGGTTATCATAGTCGCCAGCACTGGAAGATACACAGGACATCGAAAAGTTTAGCTATAGGGATTCAAGGCTAGGTTATCCGTCACTAGCACTAGGCGACGAAGGATGAACTAGGTTAAACATCAAAAGCGTAGTGACACGTGTCAGCAGGCAGCAAGCAAATTTACTGGAATTTCATTATTACAGATTTGAACATGGTAAAGAAACAATTTAGAACAATAGCAGTGTCAACATACTTTCCGTTTTGGTCAGATTTGGAAGGTATTTTAGGAATTGCCACAGGAATTGAACCAGATGGTCGTTTTTCCAGGGGTGACACTAGTGCCACTTGAAGTTGATGGGGAAGAGGCTCCATATCAGCCATTCGCAGTCTATACAATCCCTCTACTTCCTGTTTCCTATCCCATGCCTCTTTGAAAAATGGTGTGTATGTGGCTGCTGCAAATTTGAGTACACACCAAATAAGTAACATGCAAAGTAATCAACCACATACATAACCTGGAAAGCCTACAAAAGTATCATGGCTCATGCATTATACAAGGAACAAATATATAAATTCAATTGAATGAATATCATCTATCCATTAGGTTAGTGAATATGTTCACATCACACAGAAATAATCATAAATCACGTCCAAATGTTTATCATGAAGCACATACTTATAAATCCTCACCTTCCTCCCCTAGAGATCGATGTGCCACGATACCCGCTTACTGAACAATTGCATAACAAACGCAATTTTCGGTTAAAAAACTCACTCTGCTCCTGGAAGTTTGTAGAAGTCGTGAGGAACCTGGCTCCTAGCTGGTCGGCAAGATTGTTGCCATCCGTGATGAGAAACTGACTGTACTCATTGTTGAAGAACGCGAAGGCACCTCCACTCTCAGTCACAGCCACGATAAGCAGAGGCACATTCGGTCCCATGCCGCCCGTGAATGACCTGTGGAGGGCCATGGTCAGTAAGTCACAAATAAATGATTATACAGCAAATATGTATAGGCAGACACCTCTCTACAAGAGACACCTGCCTATAAATGTCATTATTTAAATTATCTCTTGATACATTATATAGTAAATAATTATGTAGTTGAATATACAGTGAAATTATCATTATGTAATAGACACCTGTGTATAGATGACATTTTGGCCAAAATGCCTGTGTCGCAGTCATACACAAAAACGAAGTCTACAGAACACACACTTCTCCATCTTTTAATACAATTTAAAGCTAGGGAAAAGCCATATTTGGGAGAGGATGTCATTTATTTCAGCAGGGTAGGTAATGAGAATTTAGAAATTAAAATAAAATCATCGGTTAAATGAAGACGGATTTTTGCTGTTACCACACAAGTATTGTTGGCGATGTAATAAAATTTTTGAAATTCTCAGCAATTCAAACACAAATATCTACTTAAATGATATAATTGTGATATAATAATATTCCAGAAATGTCGTACAACACATGTGACTTTTAAAATCCAATATTTTCTGTTTTTGAAATGAAACTCAGAAAAAGTAGATCTTATACTTAGTAGAGAAAAAAACATGCACAAACTACATCACTTGATTTCTTGAAGATTTTCACAAAATAAAGTGTATCCGTTACAGAAAAGCACATATCGCAGTTTGCTCACTTTAGCACAGCCAATGAAGCCTTGCGCTTGGCAGAATAGACAAGTACGAAGCCGTGGCAGAGTTCGTCGCGGAGAGGCCCGGCTGCATGGTATGACGTAACAAGCACTTCAACCTGGAAGACACACGTCTCACATCAATCATACACACATTCAACTGTCATCGATATCAATGCGGTGAATGTTGTCAAAGAGAATGATTAATGTTACCACAACACTGCAATGTGATGAGCAAACAGATTAGAATAAGTTTCCACCAATTGTTCTAGCCATGTCAGACTGATGTAGGATATCAACATTAAATAAGCAAGAAGGAAACGTTATGTTGAGCATAGTTTAGATACTTCTCCTACAGACACCAAGCATTTACGTTTCTAACATTACATTTGATAACGAGTGTGAAATTACATCCATGAACATACGAATAAATGCTATCCGGAACATTTAGCTAATCGTACTGAACAAAGATTAATGTAATAAATCCAATAGATTTAACTGGGGTATCTAAAAGGAACTACACTTCATCATATGCAAGACATGAGATACCACAGAACGTACCTTTCGTTTGGAATCCCCTAAGAACGTCTCTAGAGTGATGCAGTTTTCTGAACCGATGTAGCAACACTGGTGACGAAGTAAGGGGCCCAGCACTAACTCCGCAGGATACGGATCTCCGCACATCATACAGAAAGTGATCCTGTAAATGATTTCACTCCCAATGGAAAAACAGCCAACACACGACACGTCTGACACTCGCCATCCACGCGCATCAATCCTACATTTCTGCCGGGTCAAGTCCGCAAATATGACCAATTTTAATTAATATAACACCATATGGCATATACCACATAGTTCATCCAATTTATAACTCAAGTTTGCAATGATAAAACTTGAAAAACAAGAAAATATGTGTAACCTGATATCTGGCTCGATGCTCTCACTAAGGCCCTGATAGGGATTCACGAATCCGGCCCTGTAGCGAATGCTCTCCACGAGGGCCCTGAGTGCTGTTGCTACCTGATCCTCTGAGAACCTTTGTCCTGGATGGTGGAACTCATCAGGCAGGTTATCAATGAATGGACACTGCAAACTGGTAAACAGAGTGAACGCATGTGAATTAACATCCGTCCAGTCTATGAAGAGTAGTACAACAATTACAATAAATGGGCATATAGCTAATGTAGCATGTCTATAATGTCGTTACTATCCACCACATCAATTTTATTACCCTTTGACAAGATTACATTACGACCGCACAAATGCAAACACACTCCGTTTCGACAAGTACCTATCAGATAGATGCTGGCCCTCCTCCCGTAGAAGCATGAAGTCTTTCTCATTATAGTTTAGATCACAGGCAAATACAACCACTATAGGCAGTCCTTGGAATGGCAGTCCATCTTCTCTGTCAACATTGGCTAACAGCGTCTTCTGCAAGCTATCCTGAATGTACTCCAGTGATGAGAGGGAGTTGTAGATACAGAAGCAGCCTGTGTCGCATAAATTGTTTACCATAAGCACATAAAATACTAAAATTTCATTACACGTTTGATCATCTCCACCTTATCATCATACGTTTAATAGAAATACCACTACGCTAACACTGAAAGTTTACTCGTGAACTGCAGTTTTACTGCAGTTTCATGATATTACAGATCTAGAATTTTACGTAGTTTATTTAGTATATTTCCATGACCCCGACCACTCATGATCCCGAACTTCTGTCACATCCCTAAATTGTTACCATAATTTAACATAGGTCTTTATACTGTGAAGCATGTACTTTATTTGCATGGAACACTAAACAAACATCTATGATCAATCCAGCAGCACGCACCATGAGGAAGGAAGTCAGTAGTCCTGAAGGCATTTTGTGGTCGACTCACATCACCATCTATTGGCCGATAGTCTAAACTGTAGATCGTGTCGTCAATCGTGTACTCATCATCTATACACTGTGCCTGTAACAATTACAACGATATATTACAGGCCATGATAACACAGAGCAAATTAACTCCATTAACAGCATTAAAAGACATTATCATTGACTTCACAATAAAAGGCATGTTATCATGAGACTGAGACTATGTTACCATCATCATGAGGCTGATACATGCCTTTAAATGACTACATAGCATGTTTCAATAACATTTGTTTTTGTAGCTTGAAAGGTCACTGGAAAGCAAATGCATTATTTTTTTTAACATTGCACAACAATACCACACATGATTGTCAGGATCAATTGTGTAGACAGGTAGTATGTTAGCATACCCGAATTTCATTTATAAGTTCATCAGCCAGTCTGTCAATGCCCAGGAAAATGAGATTCAGCTGGCTGTTCTGTGGCTCGAGCAAAAACTGATTGTTTGTTGTCCACGACGTTGGTCTGAAATAAAGACGAAGAAAGAAGATCTAGTGAAACACGCTTATGCACATCTTCCTAGGTTATCAATAACACCTTGTACGTTAATAGTATATGCACACAACTGTACAAAAAACGTATATATACATCCAGTAATACCTGTGTTAGTGGATACATCTATGTAATAGACACCTGTCTATAAAGGGATTTCAGCATTCCCATTGAGTGGAAGCTTTACAGTAATACCAGCTCTATAGAATAGACACCCCTCTATAAAGGACTTTTGGGGTTTCCACTGAGTTACACAAGTTTGTATATGTACACACACCCGTGCGTGCACACGCACGCACGCACGCACACACACACGCACGCATGCACACAGACATAGACGCACGCACGCACGCACGCACGCACGCACGCACGCACGCACGCACGCACGCACGCACGCACGCACGCACGCACGCACGCACACAGACACACGCACCCTGGTTCAGGTCAGGTGTGTTACCTGGTACTACCTGTCTGTACATACCTGTGAGCACGACTAGCCAGTACTTTATTCACAGAAATATCCCAGCACATAGGTGCACTTGGGCAATTCTCTGGCTTTGGGCAGCATATGAAGCCCAGGTGTTGTAAAATCATGCCTGTCCGATGCTGATCTAGCCGATTCAGCATACGATACCTACATAAAAAGCAGCACGTGCTGTCAACCAGACGTTGTGGAGTGCCAGGATAAGTGCATGTTGGACGTTGCACGTTTTAAAGAGTACAGGCTGTTGTTAGAAGAAATATTGTATATTCAACAATGACTTATATTCTAATGCTGGTTTTCTCATCTGCTAGACTGCCTGCATACCTGTCTGTCAGTTTGTCTACCCGCCTGCCTGTTTGCCTGCCATGTCTATGTGTGCGTGTGTGTGTGTGTGTGTGTCTGTCTGCTGGCATGCCTGGCCGACCACCTCTCCGCCCGTCCTGTCTGCCTACCGGTCTCCCTGTCCGTCTGTCCAACCCGCCCTGCCTATCTGCCTGTCCACTGGCCGACCACCTCTCCGCCGTCCTGTCTGCCTACCGGTCTGCCTGTCCGTCCACCCGCCCGCCGCCTGCCTTCTTGCCTGCTTGTTGGCCTGCCCCTCTTTCTCTGTATTTGTATACTGCCCTTCACCACCCCCTCTCCATCTAGTTATATCAGTAAAAAATTAACAAGTACACAAAATTCATCCAAGCGCACACAAAATCGAGGCATTTAGGGAATGTGAGGTACAATCGCACAGACTCCGCAATTCTTTACAGAGGCTGTCGGCAAGAACCGTCTTCGCTTTTCGTGAACAGATACACCGAGGCTCAATTCTGTTACAGCTGGTGCACATCTATCCACGGTTACAGGGGAGCACACTCTATTGCTACGATTGCCGACTGTGATTCAGCAAATGTATTAGCAAGTTCTTTCGTACTAAATTCATTACGTGCAACATATTAGGAATGATGCAAGTGGCATCTGATACAGTCATGCTGAGGCACGTTAACAGAATTGTACTGCAAATGTTACAGAATTTTAGACTTATGATAATTACTTAATTAGCCTTTTGATAACAGGCCCCTGTTAACTTACAAGTACCAAGACAATGCATTTTCTTAAATATTGTATATTTTTCTTCTTCTAACGGCCTTATTTGCACCAACCTTGTGTCTGGTACAAGAGGTTCTTGTATTTCTTTTAGGTCTTCCTGTGTAAGAGGCACTGCATGCGGTTCCATGTTGGTAAAACGGGCGAACAGGTCAGAATGTTCTAGTAACAACTCCTGAAAGGCTAACTTGGCACGCTCGGTAATTTCCTACAAGAAAAAAACAAGCTGGTACATAATGCAAAACAAATTCATCAATAAACTCGCATCATGTATATGGCTTCAGAATTCTAATAAACCACTAGCAGGCCTGGTTACGCCACGGTAAGAAGTTTCGCTGAAAATAAATGAGTGGGCTCACAAACGCATGCTAATTTTCTACTTGACCAAGATATGCCGGAAGAAAGTCTCCACATCTTTCGCACGTTTGTTCCCGCTGCGCTCCCGTAGAAACGTACCTTTTGATGATAATCGTATATTTCGCGTCGATCACAGTCAGGTAATGACTCGTAGCACTCTCGTCCCATGAAGAAGATAGCGACATCAGCAAAGGGCTTCCCCGGCGTCACCTGTGCTGTCGTCTCTAGCAGCTGCTTGAACTGCTTCTGCATGCTACAGTGAAATAGCAATTAGACATATAAGGTTTAGCAATATTATCGTGTATCCTGCCTAAAGCCAGCAGCTGTGTTCTGCAACTACTGATCTAGCAACTGCATGTTTCAGTTAGTAATGCTGTGTATTGTCTACCGTTGTGCAGAAGAAAAGCCTATAAGGTTTGGCATTGATAACATATCTTTTGCAACATATCCTGTTCCTGCCAGGTTCAGAATTATCCGCCAAAAGTTATATATCATAAATACCACTCAAGCGGCACAGGTTTTATACAGCAGGTATACACCATTAAGATCGGTATGCTTGCCACTAAGATTACATTATTACACTAAAAAAATCATGCTAGCATTGGTAAAAGATTTTTAAAAAACTGTAGCTATTATGACATACAAGTAAAGCCCAGGTTTCTTACCCCACAGGGTATATTGAATACATAATATAGAAGGATACATATTTATGAACCAATTATATGGGCTTTTAAAAAGTATCACATTTTCTCAGGTCGACACATGTCACATCTAAATTTTGCTGTGACAGTAGACTTACTCCAGTCTTTTCTGCTCTGCCTGCAGGGCATTGACATGGTTACGAAAGCAGGTCTCTGCATCAGACAACTCCAACAGGTCAAACGGGACTCGGTGGTCTATACTGTCTACATACTCTGAATCCTAGCACAACAAACAAAGTAAATCAGGTGAAACATACACGTGTACACATTAGACTGAAATAAAAATCAGTAAAACATGTATTATCACGCAAATAAGCCTACGTATGAACTCCGGTGTGATAGTCAAGTTACACACAGTTATTCCAAAAAATTTTAATGTGAGGTACAAGCTCAGATATGCAAATGTTGTCAGCAGAAACCATTCCTGCTTTTTGAGAAGAGAAACACATAGATTCAACACTGTTATAGCTAGTGCATGTCAATCCAGTTTCAGAGAAGAACGAACATTATGTAGATCAGCAAATGTAACCAGTGGAAGTGATGCAAGTGTAACTGAAATGATATGGAAGATGGCCAAATATGGAGCACTGGCCGCGCATAGAAGAGAAGTGCGCGCGGCAGAGGGGAAAGAAAAGATAACATGGTGGATCCATGCGCCATAATGCAAGCCAGCGCACGGATCCAAAGAAAAGACTAGGTGACAGAAAGTGTTCCTCATCAGGGTGGCATGTACGAACTGCTGCAGTATATATTATAGTCTATTTCACGCAGCTGTCCCTTATTTCCCAGTCCGCTGCGCCTTGATGAACAGTACTAGTAGAGTCCACTAAGCATTTGCACTCGTTAACGATGTGTATTTCGGAGTAAATAAGGCTACGTGTGTTGAAATGTATATCGAATGAACAGCGGTAAATTCGGTGATATGTGGGCTGACATATTGTCTTCGCACTACGCATTGCACAGCACGACCTGTAGCACGGTAGACTGTACCCGGTATAGGGGTAGACGGTAGACTGGTACGCTGCCAGTTCGCTGCATGTCTATGGAGCTTGTGACAAGGGCTTGGAAACATTCTAGGCCTATTTTCACATTTGACATGGATTCTTCCGCTCACTCAAGATAGATGAAATAGTTCTATTTGTATTTTCATTTTAACAATTAGTGCACGAAATTTAACGAAGTACAGCTTGTGATCTTCTATTTACATACTATATCGGATAAACACAAAAGTTTGCTTCGAACTGTTCGATTACCAAATTTAACCACTTTTCGAGCGATCGACATAACTAGTAGAATTTGTATTGAGAGTGATCGCTGTCTCGGTGTAAGTAGTCCGCTTCGCAGACGGGTATCATTTCACTCACTGTTAGGCGCGAACGTCAAGTGATTTATCCGTGATTTCATAAGGGTGACATCACTTCGGGTCATATAATGTAATCAGTAGTTAAAGGCATACTAGGCCCATTGATTCTGCAATGTTGACGAATGCCAGAGTAACTGGCACCTTGTGTAGTTAATAAGTACATAACCTTATAGCCAAACGCGTATTAGTTTGTCCAATATCACTGCTCGTTACATTACAAGCAAGACTTGAAATCGGTTGTTGATATTCATTTACGTGCCGTAAATGTCATCCAGGAGTCCGAAAACATGTTTTGAATGCCAGATGAAATGGAGGTGTCAGCTGTGTAACCACGGCCACGAACTAAACATGGAAATGCAGTAAAACACACGCACTAATCACGGACGCACATGGACAGCCCTGACAAACAGTTCCTTATCACGAGCGTCCGTGTTTATGAAATCACTGATGATAGCATTGCGTACGGCCGAGCATGCGTGCAAAAATGTCCGCTGCACTATAAATCTGTATCACACCCGCTTCGTGGCCAGCGGTTTGAAACTGTAAACAACCGATTTCTTGGACTTCAATTAGACATTTCTTAGTAACCAGCAGTGATATTGGACAAACTAATACGCGTTTGGATGTAAGGTTATGTACTTGTTAACTACACAAGGTGGCAGTTACTCTAGCATTCGTCAACATTGCATAATTAATGGGCATAGTATGCCTTTAACATGCATCCCGTTGCCCTAATTTATACAAGTTTATATTATTACTCGAACTAACATAGCTTACCTGCCACCGCATTCCTTCTCCTAAATCTACAAAGTATTTATCAAAGTCAGGGTGCTCGTGAAGAAACCACTGGCATGTGTCCCAGTTCCTAAAATTGATTTTAAAAAACAGTAAAAGTACTGAAAAATCTTCTCATTATAGGCCAAAAACATGCGTGATTAGGAGGCCCAACAATGCCTAGCATACAATTGCACGTGTTGCCAACATTTAGGACCAACTTGTGGCCAAGCTGCCATACAATGCATTGCTATATTATACCATAACAACATGTCGACAGAACAAAAGAAATGAAACAGAAATTTTTCCTCTCAACATCTAAATGATATTCAACAAAGATAAGTGCATACTATTAATTAAAGTCACCAAGGTTAAATTGAAAACAGACACCAAGAATATGAATGACAGTAAAGTTTTATCGAACAGAAAATTTTACACTAGGACCATTTTAATAATCTGGGAGATGTAAATTGTCATTGAGATATATATACTTTTGCTAGTAGGTAAAGCAGAATATCATAGCAGTGCAGTAATTTGTTCTATACTGTTCCACGCATTTCAGTATTGCTTTGCATTATGACATTGATCAGATTCCTTCTATAGGAAAAAGACTAGTCTATATTAATTACACGTAGTTGTATTTTAATTATATTTATATGCAATAAAGATGCAATAATAATAATAATAATAATAATAATAATAATATATGCCTACCTGTCTCCTAATGACTCGAGATCAGATAAAAGTTCTTGCAAAACATTTGGTAAGTCTCTGATAAAACTCTGCTTTTTTAAATGTATATGCTGTTCCCGTAGTTTCGCTATGTGACGTCGGAAGAGCTTCAGCGCACTGTCTCGCCCCATCAGGTCCACGTAATGGCCAAAGTCTGAGTTCTGCGCGAACGCCTTGCTCGCGGCATTCCACGTGTTCTTGTAGTCGTACACCTGCGCCACCAACAGCCTGTGGTACGCGTTCGTCGCCACCTCCAGCACCTCCTTCCAGCGCAGCGCCGCGTCGTGGTACGGCACGTTCTTAGTCCGCCCCTTCGACTTATCCACCATCTGCACGAGCAGGATGAAGGCCAGCTCAACGTTGACGTTCTCGACGGCCGACGTCTCGACGACCTGGATCGCGCCTCGGTAGTCTTTCCGATTGACGAGCTTCTCAGCCTCGCGCATGTAGTACTCGACGGCCTCGTCGTTCTTCGTCGTCACGAGCACGCACGGCTTCTTCGTCCTCGTGACGTTGTTGAGCAGGAGAGCGAGGAACTCCACCTGCCGCTCCACGGGCCGGTTTGGCACTTGGCTGACGTCGAACACGACGACGAAGCCGTCGATGTTGAGCTTCCCATCCGGCAGCAACTTCTGCTCATACTCGTGCTCAATTCCTGTAACATACACACACGAGCTTAGAATGATGTACACGCACTACTGCAGCATACACACGGACTGGCTCAGAATGATGTACATACTGTAGCATACACATGGGCGGGTTCAGAATGATGTACATTCACTACTGTAGCGTACAGTTGTACGGGTTCAGAATGATGTACATTCTCTACTGTAGCATACACATGGGCGGGTTAAGAATGATGTACATTCACTACTGTAGCGTACAGTTGTACGGGTTCAGAATGATGTACATTCTCTACTGTAGCATACACGTGGGCCGGCTCAGAATGATGTACATGCACTACTGTAGCATACACGTGGACCGGCTTAGAATGATGTACATTCACTACTGTAGCATACACATGGGCCGGCTCAGATTGATGTACATTCTCTACAGTAGCATACACATGGACCGGCTCAGAATGATGTACATTCACTACTGTAGCATACACATGGAACAGCTTAGATTGATGTACATGCGATACTTTACCATACACCTGGACCGGCTCAGAATGATGTACATTCTCTACAGTAGCATACACATGGAACAGCTTAGATTGATGTACATGCGATACTTTACCATACACGTGGACCAGCTTAGAATGATGTAGGCTCACTACTGTAGCATACATGTGGACCGGCTTAGAATGATGTATGCGCAGTCGCACACTACTGTAGCATAGTACATGTGGACCGGCTTAAAATGACGTACATGCACTACTGTAGCATAGTACACAGGGACAGGCTTAGAATGATGTACATGCACTACTGTAGCGTACATATGGGCCGGCTCAGAATGATATACATGCACTACTGTAGCATAGTACACAGGGACTGGCTCAGAATGATGTACATTCACTACTGTAGCATAGTACACAGGGACAGGCTTAGAATGACGTACATGCACTACTGTAGCATAGTACACAGGGACAGGCTCAGAATGATGTACATGCACTACTGTAGCATAGTACACAGGGACAGGCTCAGAATGATGTGCAAGCACTACTGTAGCATAGTACATGTGGACCGGCTTAGAATGATGTACATGCACTACTGTAGAATAAATAGTACACAGGGACTGGCTCAGAATGATGTACATGCACTACTGTAGCATAGTACACAGGGACAGGCTCAGAATGATGTGCATGCACTACTGTAGCATAGTACATGTGGACCAGCTTAGAATGATGTACATGCACTACTGTAGCATAGTACACAGGGACAGGCTCAGAATGATGTACATGCACTACTGTAGCATACACATGGACCGGCTTAAAGAATGATGTACATTCTCTACTGTAGCATACACATGGACCGGCTTAGAATGATGTTCTGCGATACTGTCGCATGTACACACAGACGTGCATAGAATTATGGGGCACAGAAACTTTTACACCAGCACAATTCAAATGAGCAGAACCCTAGAACCCTAATCCATAACTGCTGTTACGGACTTTACACTCTAGTCAACCAATGTATATGCACACTGCATGACGAGTACCGTTGAAATTGAATGGCCCTAAATACTACAGATGAGACTGGAGCCAAAGGGCTAACATGGCTATTCCGTACACCACGCCTAAATTATAACCTCACTGATCTTTAAGCAAACACGGTCGAAGTTCAACCCGCATCACAGTAGATAGTAAGCTTGATATTATATAAGTAAATGAATGACACAGAAATGATAACAAAACAAGGACTAAGCCTGTCATGCCAAGTCAAATCGTGAGAGACTCTAACAATGTAAGAATACAGTTTATGCACGCTGCACACATTCCAGTGCTTATGTCTAAGAAATTATTCGTCTCAAGTTACGTTACAAAATACCCCTAGTATCACAGTAGCTTCCAGACATGGTCATGATGTATCAAAAGATGTTTGATGTTGGCCTAACAACCTAGTGGGGCTAGTATTACAGATATCTGACAAGTAAAACATTCATTTATTTTATCATTAAATTTACTATCACAACTCACTGGGGCAGTATATATATATGTGTGAGCTTTTTGTTACTATCAATTCTAAAACCATTCACAATTATTTTATCTATAAAAGCACGAAAATAAGTTAATAAGTCGAGTTTGGTTTCAAGTACTACACATACGGACATGAAGCTGTCAACTAGCTGAGCCTGTCACATTTAAATAATTTTTTCAACTTTGGAATTAGCATTGGAGGAATTCTAACATTAACAGATTGTGCCACTATTTCCACTCAGATGCACTTATGTTAGTATTTTATTAAACAGAGTGGCTATATATGCCCGGCAGCCGGCATATATCTGGCTGCCAGGCACGGTCTTCGATTTCCTAAATGCCCGGCAGTTTTTAATTTTCAGCGTTATCTCAAGTAAACAAGGGTTAGGGTTAGGGTTAGGAACTGCCGGGCATTTAGGAAATCGAAGACCGTGCCCGGCTGCCGGGCATATAGCCAAAGCGTTTATTAAAATCTTATAAAAGAAAGAAATAAGTGAATCTGTAAGACAATTTTTCTCAGAAGCACTCAAATTTCCGAAATGCAAGAATGAAAACTATATATATATACAATACCAAGTTGATTCTTGCATATGTACATCAGCTTCTCTGCCGACTGTATCTTCGTTGCGCTACAGCGCTTGACGTACGGTTCCGTCTTTCCGCCTTTGAACGGCTGGAACGATGCGTCGTCAATGAACTCTGTCTGCTCAATGACATTAAACGTCAGATCCACGCCTTCGTCGGTCGTCTTCATGACCTCTCCCCAGTAGAGAAAGTGGTCATTGTTGACCACTCTGCCGCTAAAGTCTGTCTGACTTAGGACAGAGATGTGATCCTGGTAGTACTCGTCAGCCAGGGGGCGTGTGAAGCGGTTGCATAGGTGCGACTTGCCGACACCCGTTGCTCCTTTCTCTCGCTCTGTGCCGGACAAACCTACAACGGCGATGTTGAAGATTCGCGACTCAACCTTCTTCGCCATGACTAGGTATGTCTGTATAGAGTGCAGTCTTGCAGCTCATACATCCATCGTGAAGTGCATTTGCACTTCACATGGATAGTGCAGCTGCTTGAGCAACGGGTGTGCAGTGCTGTGCGAGTTACAGGTAACCTCACATTTTCTTTTTCTTTCCCCGCCGACACAACAGCTTAGTGTACAATTCAAAAATCCTAAACTGCAGTGCGGAAAAATCATTGCACTACAGGCATGGATCACACTTTCTCGCTGTAATTTCTCTCTTGTTGAAATGCTTTATTCCAATGTAATCGTATTTGCACACAGCCGGTAGGGATCCAATGCCTACTATTCTGCACTCTGTATTTCGGCCCTCCATTGCGGTTGCTGAAACGGGAAAACAAAAGAAATATAAATATCACCTGCGTACAGACACGATTAGGCCAGTTATTCCAGACTACTGTACTCGCCCTGTCATCGGTCTATACTACTAGTAGTAGTACTAGTAGTGGTACTACTACTACTAGTACTACTAGTACTACTAGTAGTACTAGGCGGCGGCAGCCTGTACTGTAGAACACTCCTACATTCTCTGTCTCACTTACAGTGACTCTAATTTCACACACTTGAGTTATTACTATAACACTTTTCAGTTACGCCTGCAATAGTTCTGACGCACGGAGTTAAGATATATGCGCATTTCTATCGAAAAATAAGTCAAAAAGATTTGCACACATACACGAACGACCACCATTGTGAATTCAGTGGAAAATATATAGTGCATTGCGGAATATGCGGCTAGTTTCAGTACCCCACCTCTGCGCTGACATCTAGCAGCAGAATGCGGCAGCACGCGGCAAGTGGCGGCAGCCAACAAGCAACGGCCACGGCGGGAGGTCGACCAAGCGCTATATTTGACCGACTGTATATTTCACGTAGCAGCGGTTACATGGGGTGATACCACAGGCACTTGGAACGTTTCAATAAATTATAATGCTAAATAAATACGAAATCTATTTACTACCAAATCTATTTTCTATACTCTATTATTGCCGCCAATTTCCTGTAAATGCCGTCCAAATGCTCATCTACAACAAACACTGGCTACCGTCAAGCGCTATTGCTGCCGCTGCACACTGAGTCACTGACATATATAATATATTATAATAATATAATATATATATATATTATAATTTAATATATTTAAGTGTCAGTGTGCAGCGGCAGCAATGGCGCTTGGCAGCAGCCAGTGCCATTTGTTGTAGATGAGCATTTGGACGGCATTTACAGGAAATTGTCGGCAATAATAGGTTAACGAGAGTATAGAAACATTAAGACTTTGGTAGTAAATAGATTTCGTATTTATTTAGCATTATATTTGATTGAAACGCTCCAAGCCGCCTGTGCATGACCACCGCGCGTGAAAACGATAGCATTCCACCGAATTTAAAGGCGCTTATTACTACACACATTGTATAACATTTAGACAATCTCTGGTAGATACAATGTATATATATATATATATACATACATATCATGGGTTAATAATGACAAATTGTCATATGTACTCTTGATATGTATATATTCATAATATGATACTACTTGATATATTATATATCATAGTTATATATATAATATACTATAGTCTATATATATATGTACTTATATATAGAGAGAGAGGGAGGAAGACGCGAGAGTACGAGAGGAGAGTCAGAATGGAGAGAGAGAGAGAGACAGAGAGGAGACGAGAGGACGACGGAAAGAGATCGAGAGAGAGGCGTGGTGGAGAGAGAGAGAGAGTAAAAAAAGGGGATGAGCGAGAAAATGGAGGAGAAGATGGAGAAAGAGAAAGAGACGAGAGAAAGAGATCCGAGAACGAGCAGAGAGAGGACGCAGAGGAAGAGACGAGTAAGAGAGAGAGAGAGAGAGAGAGAGAGAGAGAGAGAGAGAGAGAGAGAGAGATAGGCAGTTCGCCACTGACCATATAATAGTACAAACCATAATAGTGTCTAGATTGGCCTGGGTGCAATTGCTCCCCTTTTGCCCCCGCCCGCTAACCACGCCCCTGCAATTATTGTCAACGGAGTAATGCATTTACAAAATTGGGCTCTTATGATGTAATATACCAAAATTCAAAAAGTCCATACAGGCGCCTTTGGCATGAACATAACTTCATTATTGAAGTATATTGACTATTCAGTATATAGTAGTTCAGTATACAATGCAGCACTCGTTTCTGGTTGCAGCTGCAGTAGAGTGCAGACTGTTTAACACATACATACTGATAGTAAAACGGGTGTAAGACTTCGTTAACCGTTTACGGATTGCACAATTGATGAGCTTGTAATTTAATTCATATAATTTATGTAGAATGTATCCAGGTGATGATTCCGGTATTCTCCAAGGGGTCCGATGAATGCGGTGTTGAGAAGGCGCATCTCATCTACAGATTAACTCCAGATCAGTGGCTCTTCACTTGGGTTCGACCGAACCCCAGGGGTTCGGTGAGCCAGTCTCAGGGGTTCGGCGGAGGTCCTCCGAAACGCATTAAAATTTTGCTAGAATTTGCTAGAATTTTTATTTTTTGTTCATTCTTTGCATGCTTTCCAAATATAGTCTTGAATGTTGATGCAATGTTTTAATTTCTTGGATTAATTAAAATTGATTAAACTTGATTTGTTTTTGTCAAATTTGAGGGGTTCGGCGAGTGAGCAGTGGGTTTGTTAGGGTTCGGCGCCTCTAAAGAGGTTAAGAAACACTGCTCTAGATGCTATTGACATGACATGCCGTTTTTGGTAACACTGCAACGTCATTTGTCTCACTCTTCATAATCCATTCAGACTGCTTCATCCTGACCTCATCCCTTCTCCGACGTTATAACTGCCCCCCCCCACCCAATGCTACTGCAGCTCCAATCGTCTTGATTGCCCACTTTTTGTTGTCACGAACACTGCCTGCTATACATGACTATGCATGTCCTGTCTGGACCTTTCACCTACATTGCTTACTCATTACAAACATGCATATAGCAATAGCATACAGCATAGAGCAGTGGTTCTTAACCCTTTTTGAGTCATAGACCCCTTTGAGAATCAGGTGAAAGCTACGGACCCCTCTCCCTAAAAAATGCACATAAGCACATAACACAAATTTTGTACGCGCCTGGTTCATTGACCCCCTGAAACCCATCCGCGTACCCCAAAGGGCTCCATGGACCCCAGGTTATAAGAACCCACTGTGTTAGAGAATAAAGTGTACGTGTCAAAATCACGTGCCGGATCACTTCAATTCTTCCTTGTCCAAACACAGGTATGTACATCATTCACGTTTGAAGCGTTTTAGTCATTTGTGAAAGCTTTCGTGCGACGTACTTAGACACCAAGGGTCACTTGTCAGCGCTACCTGTATATATATATACTCGTAGTAATTAAGTATGTACATTTCATATGTTGTTAAATTAGGAATTAAAAGTATTCATATCATATAATAATCCATGTTGCATAAGATATTTTAATCAGAGATTATGCAACATCCAGCGAATACACTTGTAATTCTCAAAAAATTGGTAGAAAATTTGTTCTTTTTCAGAGAATTACCAAAAATAAGTGCTAATTATGGGGTTATTGAAATGATAGCCACCTTAACGTTCACACTGCTTAATTACTCGGAATTACGAAGTTACAAGTCCGTGTTATGCATGTAGTCTAAACGTACTGTACATGACAGTAGCATGGCCTGCTAAATCTACACTAGCGCCTACCCTCCGTTGGCGTTTCACATAACCTCCATTCGTATACGACACTACATAATTCATGAAATTTACAGAATACTAGCACACGACCAGTGCTACCCGTTTTTATGATGCATAACTCAGTAGCCATGAGCAGCTGTCCTGTAAAACATCATCAACCTCGTACACTTCCCTGCCAATATGCCAGCCGTGATCAATGTTACACTGCTGTGATATACTAACAATGTCACGGATCAATAAATGGTCAGGCTGCCTGTAATGCTGGTATGCATAATTCTAGACGATCTTCCATTGCACGTGACACTCGCATATCATTAGCATAGGCTATATAATAACATTTATACCAGCACATTTCATTTATATTCAATTTAGAAGAGTTTTATCGCTCATTAACTCACAACCCACAGCAGTAAATTGCAGAGCAAGTGCCGGTTTTGGTGCAATGTTTCATAATCACCTAGACATGTAAACGAATTCTCTTATGGTTGGATAAATGCAACACATAAAACAGGTGCCATAGACAGATTAAAGGAATCCTGGAAGGAGATCCGATGAACGCAGCAGAAAGGGATGGGGTGGTATCAGGACTGTCATAGTACCACCCGACAGATTTTCTTACTGAAATCTCTGGTTGCAACACGATGAATTACGAATACACTATACGTTTTCTATTTTAAAATACTCTAGTATATGTCATCCGTGGCAACTTTTGCACCGTACAGGAAAAAATTAAGACTATAGTTACAAATTGTGTAGTATTATTCTGAGTCCCCCGGACCACCCATGCTGTTTAGTATAGTATGTGTTAGTGTGTGTTAGTGTGGTAGTTAGTATGTGTGCTTAGTATAGTCAAAGAAATTATATGAATATCTAGACTCTAGAGCAATGTAAAAAATAAAAAGAAACAATTTCGTATTGATCAGCTTACGGAAATATTGAATTGATATTGATATATAATTGAGTTTTATATATATTAGTTAGACGTAAGTGTGCTACCATACATACGGATTTATTATCATTAATTACAGGAACAAAAGGCTAATGAAAACAACCACGCTGTTGCCACACGTATAGTACTGTGTTATTGAAACAACGATAGTGGTATAGCAATTACATCAGAATTAAAAACAAGTGCCGCAGAGCGACAGCGCTCAACTGACGTGTACTGTAGCCAGGTATTCTTCTGATAAACTCACTGGCAACCGAATCAAGTCCGCCCTCCTGCCACCGCGTTCGCGCTCAGAGCATATATCTAGGATACTACTAATACAGATCTAAAATCTATGATAGGCTATACCTACTGGTAGTACAGTAGTAAAGATACAGCTGTGTAACTTTAATGACTTCGCTATATTAACATGTTATCAAGGATATGCGTCGAGCGCGAGCGTAGTGGTGGTGGTGCGGCCGAGGTGGGGAGAGGGGGAGGGTGGGGGAGGGTGGGGAAAGGCGGGGGGAGGGGTGAGAGGGGGCTCTAATAGCAAAAGCAGTTCAGTCCTTTGTTAACAGTCAACAAATCCATGTTTAACCCTCCTCTTGAGGGTCAAAAGGTTATCCGACACTTACTCTTCGCCATGTCAGCGGAAAGTACATTTCAGTTGTCTTTCAATAAAGCCATAAATATGAGGTCACCGCT